AACATATTTCACGACTACTGCATATCACCGCGAATATCGCGTTTTTTACAGAGTTTTACGCCACTTCACGTAAAACAGGTGAAACTCCATTGAAATCCATATTTCAGGATGACCATTGCCTCCCCTGCCCATCGAGTGATAAGGAAGACGACTGCATGTATTGTCCATGGGCGAGCATTGAGGAGGTGACCACTGCCAGCTTGTGCGTGCGTGCAATTTAGTATGGTTTCTCGTTAGGACGAGGCTGCTGAGCAGAGCACTACGGCTACGCTGGGAGCGGACTCTGCGGCACCGGGAAGTGGTCGCGATCAATCTCCTATGAATGTGAGAAAAAATTGGGAAAAATTGGAAAAAAAACGGAAAAAAATGGGAAAAAATGGGAAAGATTGGGAAAATTTGGAAAATTTGGGAAAAATTGGGAAAAAATTGGTGGTTTTTTCCTCAGGATTCGCCTCCGTTGCCGGGATCGAGCGGCTCGTGTTGGACTCCAGTGGCTAACACGCGGACGTACACGCCGGTTCCTGAAGATACTGATAGGATTCTCTGCGTGAAGTAATGGGGAAATCTTCAGAGTGCGAGTCCAAAAAAAATCTGTTATTTTCATTATTAATTATTTAGTTTATCATTGGAAATTCACTCGTGATATGAAAAACAAATTACCCATGTGAGCAGTGAATAAGGGGATGTGTTTCACGCTTTATAGTTTTTCGGCGTTTTTCGTGTGAAGTGTTTTTAATTCACTTCATAGCGCGAATATCGCGTTTTTCACATGGAGTAAAACAGGTGAAACTTTAGTGTGTCTTTAGGGTTTACAGCACAGAGCCTATACCGTGTAAACCGCGGTCTAGCACTCGAAAAAGAAGTGTAGAGGAAAACGGCGTCAATACTGCGCAGGTAAGATGCTGTTGATTTATGTGACAACATGGGACATGAAGTGGCGTAAAAGTCGGTGAAAAACGCGATATTCGCGGTGATATGCAGTAGTCGTGAAATATGTTTTTCACTAGTGTTTTTCATATTTTTCCCACTGTGATATGTGTGAGTAACGTGTTTGAATCGGAAGAGTGGGGGAAAGGTACTGGTGGTTTATAACGGTTGTTTATACGTCATGAATACAGTGTGAACAACAACCAAACCGTTATTATGCGAAGTAGTATTTTCAACACCTCCGAAAGTCAACTTTGAGTAATAGCAACATGATAACAATGTGAATCGATTGACACCAACGTTTTAGAAGCGTTCCGTAGTCTATATTCGTATTACTCTCGAATTGGAAGAACGCCATCTCGAAAATCTACATATGCATAGCTGTTTGCTTCGCACTGTAGGTCGACGACAGAAGCGACTCTGGGGATGATGTCAGCTTGGGTGGGAGGGGACGATCGGGGAGCTTTGCAAATGGTAGTAGTGGGAATGGAAACGGAAAAAGGGAAAAATTTTTGGTGAAATTTTGGTGATAGTAATGGAAATTCACCCGTGGTATGAGGAACGCTAGTGAAAAAATCATTTACCACAATTCACTTCGGGGTAAAGAATTGTGTTATCGGTCGCGAGAATATACACGTCTTATTATTTGCCTGGAGTATTACGCCACTTCACGTTAAACGGTGTGACAAAAAATATTTGAAAATTATAGAAAAAATGGAGTTTCACCCGTTTTACGTAAGTGGCGTAAATCTCCGTGAAAAACGCGATATTCGTGGCGCTATGCAGTAGTCGTAAAATATATTTTTCACTAGTGTTTTTCATATCACTAGGGTGAAACTCCAATAATAAAAATTAACGTCGTTTGTACAGATAGATTATTGAGAAATTGGGCCAGTGTAAATTTTTCCGATTCGGGAGGTTCACGATTTTCACGATTTTCGCGGTTTTCACGATTTTCATGATTTTCATGATTTCCGCGATTTTCACGATTTTCACAATTTCCACGATTCTCATGATAAAGATGGCAGGTTCTGAGAAAATGAGAAAACAAGTGTGTTGGTGAAATTATTGCAATTAGAATTGATTGTTTTCGGTGACGTAGTTTTGGATTTATACCGGAAACTTGCCTGCAATGCGTGTCAATTTGATACCCAAATATGAAAAATGTGTATTTTCTATTCCGGGATTAATGACAGTGAACAACTTGTCGCTATCATAGTCTCGAAAGGTTACTTTTATCACAGCACATGTTCATAGCAATGTTTATGTGATATATTTTCAGATCGATTCTTAGTAATCTCGGGAAAACGCACTTTTTTTCCGTCTTCTTATCAAATTGACACGCACGGGGTGTTCAGAGAACCCATTCCGAAACTCAGAACACATTCCAGAATGCAAAACACCAAAATCGCGTTCAGAGAACAGCCCCCCAAACACATTCTGGAACGCGTTCCAGAATAGATTCCGAACGTGTTCAGAAAACTTTAGAATGCATTCTGAAACACGTTCCAGAAAGCGAAATCTCAGAATGCGAAAATTCCTT